AGCCGAAGGCAGACGCTTAACCATCTGAGCCACCCAGGCGCCCGATGCACAGTTTTTTAATTAAAAAAATTTTTTAAAGTAATTTCTACACCCAACGTGGGGCTTGAATTCACGACCCTGAGGTCAAGAGTCGCATGCTCCACCGACTGAGCCAGCCAGGTGCCCTGATACACAGAAGTCTTAAAATCTGATGTAGTCCCATTTGCCTATTTTGGCTCTGTTGTCTTGGCTTTGGTGTCATCCAAAAATCATGGCCAAACTTCATGGAGCTCTTCCCCTATGTTTTTCTCTAGAAGTTTCTAGTTTTAGGTCGTATAGTTAGGTCTTACATCTATTTTTTGGTTAATTTTTGTCATATATTCCTGATGATTTGATTCTTCTATCACTATATAATGATCTTCTTTGTTTCTTGTGACTTTTTTTTTTTTCTGAAAGTCTATTTTATCTGATGTAAGTATGGCCACCCTTACTCTCTTTAGGTTCACATTTGCATGGAATATCTTTTTCCACATTTCACTTTCAGCCTACGTATATCCTTAGAATTAAAGTAAGGGTTTTTTAGATGACATATAGTTGGATGGGGGGCATGTGAGGGGAGTCAGGCAATATATAATAAATAAAGTAAATAAGTAAATTATGCAGTATGTTAGAAAAGTGATCATTCTTATGGAAAAAACATAGAGTGACAAAAGGGGGATGAGGAGAGGGGGTGGTAAGAAGCCTTGGGGGCCAAGGTAAGTACTTTGGGTTTACTCTCAGTGATATGAGCAGCTATTACACAAGGTTTTGGAGTAGAAGAAGGACAAGATCTAACTATTGTTTTAAAGGGATCCTCTGCTGGCTATATCGAGAATGGATGAGAGAGGCAAGGGCAGAAGCAGGGAGACCAGTGAGGAGCTAATTGCAGCAATGCAGGAAAGAGGAGGGTGAATTCAGGCAGTGGAGATGGAGAGATGTGGTCGGTTTCTGGATACATTTTAAGGCAGTTAACACTTCTGGCATGTAGTTATA